ACATAGTTGTAATGTGAGTGAAATATAGACTTGCTAGTGGGAAGGAAATAAATCTCATTTACATAGATAAGTTTCAGTTGAATGTATGGTTACTGAGACTGAGGCATTTTGATTTGTCATTTAAAAATATTTTTAAATGATTAATTTCAATAAAACTATTGGGACCACCAGTATTTCACTCTAACCTGGGTAGGGACTGGAAGTACTTGGTAAGGCAGCCGCAGAAGGTTGAACCAGGACAGTTCCTTATTGGATAAGCTTTGCCAGTCTATAAGGCACATTGTTGCTGCCCTTGCAAAGAAAAGTCCCAACTTTTAAAAATCTTTGTCCTGGGAACCAAGGTCAATTACTTGCAGTGTTTTGTTTTGTTTTATTTCTCTTTCAATCTGAAATGTATGTGGTGGGTTTTTCCTTCCATTAAAATAAAACTGTGTAGAAAAGGTTGATTTTTCTTAATATATTTTGGATTACACTTAGAGAGAGACAGTATTCCTTTCTTGCCCAAACAAAGGGTGGGGGGGGGGTAATCCAAAATAAGAATCAGTTAAAATGGAAGGGAAAATGTATTCTGTATTTAGTGTAGATAAAACATTATAATGGAAACAGTTACATAGAGTCTTGTTAGTTCCAGCCATGTTTCCCAGTCCACATTTTACTGACTTGTTATTCTCTATCCTGGAACCACAGGAATGAGAGATAAAGGGCCAAGAGCCACACTTCATATGGCTAAGGAAGGTACTGGGGTAAGAGACATGATGCAGTAAAATCAATTTGCCACCCATCTGGAACCTGCTGGTAGTAACACAGGATCAGACAGCGAAGGATGTTTGAACTCACTAGTTTGTCTGAATATCTTAAACTAGCCTTCTCAAAATCCCAGCAATAAACTGGGCACAGTGGCACACACCTATAATCCCAGCAGCTTGGGAAGCTGAGGCAGAAGGATTGCAACTTCAAAGCCAGCCTCAGCAAAAGTGAGGCGCTAAGCAACTCAGTGAGACCCTGTCTCTAAATAAAATACAAAACAGGGCTGGGAATGAGGATCAGTGGTCGAGTTCCCCTGAGTTCAATCCTCAGTACTCAAAAAAAAAAAAATCTCAGCATAAAACACTGTTTTTATTCAGTTTTTAAACAAGTTTGTATACAAATTGAAGTTTACATCTCCATGTGCTGTTGCTCAGTGGTGCCACCAGTGTTTGTTAAGACTGGTCTCTGAAAGTTTTACAATGTCTACCAAGCCCTATACCTCATTACACTAAGTGCAAACATCCTTAATCTCTGTAGTTAGTGGGAAGAAAACAAGTTCTGTGACTGAAGCACACAATAGACAGGAATGAAGAGATAACAGAGGTAATTTTTTTAAAGGTAGGAATTTTTTAATACCTTTATTCTATTTATTCATTTGTATGTGGTGCTGAGGATGGAATCCAGGGCCTCACATGTGCTAGGTAAGCACTCTACCACTGAGCTATCGCCCCAGCCCCACAGATGTAATTTTTAAAGATTCTCCTTACTTGGATAATACAAATCAGGACATGTTGGTGAAGGGCTGTTGTTGCTTTTATTCACAGTGGTTCAGAAGGAGCACAGAAAACATTCTTCAGCATGCTTTTAGACCCAAAGGAGGGGAAAATGGAGTGTATTAGGAGGAGGAGGACTTGTTGAAGTCCAAGATGGAGTAGAAGCCCCATGTTGAGAAAAGATAATGCAATATTGTGGCTTTCAGGGATGTTTCGTGTTTATGTGTCCAAAAAAAATGGCATTCTCATGCCAAAAAAGACACCTAGAAGTTTAAATGCATATCACCTCATGCATGGAAGTAATTTATTTCTCAAAATCAAAACTTTACATGTGTGTATTGATGTCCATTCCACTTGCTCAAATTTTCAAATGTATGTAGGTTAAATACCATTGCTTAGAAATCTTTATCTGTCCAATCATTTCCTTAAGTCTTTTAGAAGCAATGTATCTAAATCAAACTGATTTTACATTTAAATCATGATGCACATAGCAAGCCTACCTTCCAGTCTCACCAGGAGTATATGAAGTTAACTGTTATGCCTCATGCTCTCCGATTTTATTTGCTTACATAGTTTAGTATCTTTTCCAGAGAATAGGATTCAAAGGGTTTCAACCTTGGTATAACAATCTGGTTCTGTGGATAATAATTTTCCCTTGTTAAAGAAAGTCACTGTAACAAGTTTCTCTTTAGACTTGTGATTGTGAGATATCATTCAAATAAACATGCCTTTGTCCTGTTCCCAGAACTCATCAGTACAGTATTCTGATTTATTGTACCAATTTCCTAGGAAAGGCCTCATAGCAGAGATGTTAAGAAGTCTGGTTTGGGGGAAAGTAAAGTCTGAGGAAGAATCCCAGCTCCAACACTTGTTTGTGGTTTTAGCAAAGTTACTGTATCTCTGCCTGCCTCAGTTTTGTGGTACATATCTGCGGGGTAGGAGATGTGAGAGGCATAGATAAGTTTTGAACCCTGGACAGAGACTGGAACATTGCTGAGAGCCATAGCTAAGAAAGAATGACGCATGGCAATTTCCTTGTCAGCTTACCCCATGTTGCTTAGAGGGAGGACTCTCCATTGTAGAAATGGGCTTGCCTTGGACCCAGGTCATTTGCAGTGACATTGCATGAATGTTTGAGAAAGGTGACCCTGCTCAAGGACCAGGGTGGATCTGGGTTTAGGGAGGATCCTGCTGGATTAGGGTGGGTCCAGGTTTAGGGTGTATCCTGCTAGGAATAGGGAGTATCCTGCTGCCTCAGGCACCCACCCGCTCCTTGGGTTCCCCTTGAGTTCTCACGGGATTCAGAGAGTATTTGGGATGTAGAACCGAGTGGAAGTGTGGATTTTCCCCAGAACATGCGTGTGGAGTGCCGGTGTGAGTTCGGGAATAAAGAATTGCTGTTTGAATCTACAAGGCTCTGAGTGGCTCGTGATTTTGTGGCCTGCCAGACTGCGGTAGAACATAGTTCCTATAATTCCATCTCCTCTGTTGGAATTGGGCTGTGAAACCTGCCACTGCTCCCTTCTCTCCATAGTATAGACAACGTGAGTTCAGGGCCACAGCCTATCATAACCTTGCCATTAACCATGGGCCTATATAAGGAGCACATCTATGAGAACAAAGGCACCAGGAACCCCAAAAATCTCCCTTAGTTTGGCAACACTCACTGGAATGCTGGAGCCAGATTACATCACACAAGCTAACCCATAAATATCCAAGAATCTTGTAAAACATTTATGAAATTGTTAGCAGCTTGAATTCAGCAACAGCAGAGGTATTTATACCAAAAATGAGCTGACAATGCCACACAGGAGTCATCCTCCCATGCTTACCAGAGCCAACATATCAATGAGACCACCAGTGTACTAGGATGGAATGAGGTTACTCCAGTCCAATTCTTTTTGTTTACACATTTGAGGCACATATTTCACTTCATCCCTAAGTGAGTTGGGCTAAGAGTAGGTAAAACAATACATTGCAAATATGAATTAGCTCTCATAGTTCATGCAGTAGCCCACTACCAAAATTAGAGTCTCCATTCTTTAAGTGGATATTATAGGAAATGATACAGCCTTGAGTGAGTTTAACCCATCTCAAGAACCAAAGTGGGGGGCTGGGAATGTGGCTCAAGTGGTAGCTCGCTCGCCTGGCATGTGTGCAGCAAGGGTTTGATCCTCAGCACCACATACAAACAAAGATGTTGTGTCCGCCGAAAACTAAAAAATAAGTTTTAAAAAATTCTCTCTCTTTAAAAAAAAATTCTCTCTTAAAAAAAAAAAAGAACCAAACTAGGTAGGCTTGTCAAAGTCCCTTAGGAGGTTCCCAAGTCAGTAATAAACTGATCCTTGTCTCCCGGGTGATGATGTGGGACCAGAAATAAAACCCTTGACAGAGCTAGGATAACTCAGTTATTCTAGCTATATCCTAGCTAGGATAAAAACCTATAAAAAAATTATGCATCAAAAAATCCACTGGTTTATAATGGTTCAAGGTATGACAAATTTAATAACTCATAAACAAACTCCACATTCTGGCTTCTAACCTTACTGAATAGGCTTCTTGTTCTTTATCTTGTTTTACCAAAATTTTAGCCATAGGCCCGGGCACCATCTGAACATAACATTCAATAGAAAATAAACGCCTGACCCTTCCTGTGTGGATCCTATTGTGAGCAAGGAAACTTTTCCTTAACACATAGCTTTTAGATTGCAGCTTTCCCATAGCTCATTTGAATCTGAAAATATTGATGTTTGTGGAATTTTTAACAAATCTCCATCATGTTCCACTCAGTAAAAATAGTTTATAAACTATTTTCCTCCATCCAGATTTAACCCTTGTTGAATAAGCAGAAATTTCATTTATGGTTTCATATATGATTATTGCCCCTCGCTAATGTTTTACATTTAATTATGACTAGAAATATTTATTTAAAAACCTATGTTATGTTCAGTCCACGGGCTCAGAGAAGGAAAAGATAGACATGATCCCTTCCCACAAGGTGCTCCTAGTCTCTTAGCAAAGATTGTGATAAGTGCTTTCTATTAAAGGAGGTCAATGAATGGACTCCTTCTGTACAGAGCAGGAAAATAACCTGATTTCAGGCAAATATCCTAGGGAAAGATAAGTGTAACCCAAGAGCTGAAGGTAAATCTCAACTCGCCAGAAAAAAAATGGTAGGAAAAGCATCCCAGAAGTACGTGTAAGGGTGTGTAAATCAGAGTGTGGGACATGTAATAAACAGAAAGAGACTCAGATTGATTGGAATACAGAGTGTGCCATGCTGTTTGAAGATAGTATATCAAACATAATGAGTCTCATTAAATATGTGTTGAGTTAATTAATTTTTTGTAATGACCCCAATTGGAAAACATTTTCTCAATTCTTAGGAAACTACTGAGAAGATATCTATGAAGGCAGTGAATATGTGACTTATGTGTACCAAGTATGGTTCTGAGCCATGAATCACTGCAGGGATAGAACTTTGGCTCAATTTCCTTTATTATCTAACAGCATGACATGACAGCATTTTCACAACTCAGTCATTTCCAGATAATCATAAGAATCATTCACTTACATCACTTTTTGTAACAGCTTTATTGGAATACAATTCACACAGCCTACAACTGACCATTTAACATTAACAATTCAGTGATATTTAGTGTATTCACAAAATTTTAAAACCATCACCACAACTAAAGAACACTCTAATCGTCCCCAGAAAAATCCCGTAAAAATTAGCAGACCTTTCTTATTTCCTCCTTTTTTTCCCCAATCCCCATCTGTAGAGAATAACCAATCTAATTTCTGTCTATATAAATTTTCCTCTTCTGGAAATTGGACATGGTGACACATACTTATAATCGTAGCAACACGGGAGGCTGAGGCAGGATGATCAAAAGTTCAAAGGCAGCCTCAGCAACTTACCAAGTCCCACAGCAAATGAGTCGTTCTCTCAAAATAAAAGGTGAGGATGTGGTTGTAGCTCAGTAGTAGAGTGCTTGCCTAGCACATGTGAGGCACTTGGTTTGAGTCTCATCACCACATGAAAATAAAAGAAAGTTATTGTACCCATCTATGATTTTTTTTACCTTAAAAAGCATCAAAACAAAACAGACTACGGATGTGACTCAGTTTTTAGGCACCCTAGGTTTTATCCCCCCAATATTAAATAAATTTGCATATTTTAAACTTTACACAAAAAATGGTATTATACAAAAGGTGGTATCTTTCTGAATGGCTTGAATTCCCAAAAGGTTTCCAAGATTCATCCATGATTTCCTTTTACTGATGTTTAGTGGGATTCCATATGGATATACATTTATTTTTCAATTTGTCAGTCCATTGGGATTTCTATTATTTACTCTTTTGAAAATTACACATAATTGGGCTGGGGATGTGGCTCAAGCAGTAGCGCGCTCGCCTGGCATGCGTGCAGCCCGGGTTCGATCCTCAGCACCACATACCAACAAAGATGTTGTGTCCGCCGAGAACTAAAAAAAATAAATATTAAAAAAAATTCTCTCTCTCTCCCTCTCTCTCTTTAAAAAAAAAAGAAAAAAGAAAATGACGCATAATTCATGAACATGCATACACAAATTTTTATGTGGACATAAGTTTTCATTTTGGGGGGATATGTACCAACAAGTGGAATACCGGGCCACATGATGCTCTGTATTTAATTTTGTGGAACTGTTTCGAAAGTGACTGCATCATTTTACATTCCAACCAGCATCTTATGAGGGTTTCACTTTCTTCACATACTTAACCAACATGTTTTTTGGAAAACACCCTAGCAGGTATGAAGTGCTATCTCAACATGATTGACTCATAGATACATTTACCTGAAGCTAATGATATGGAGCTCCTTTTCATGTGCTTATCAGCCATTTGGATATCTTCTCTGGACAAACTGTATTTAGCTTCTTTGCCCATCTTCTAATTGGGTTTTCTTTTCTATTGAGTTGAGAGGTGAGAGTGTGTATTTTAGATAGAAGTTCTTTATCACATATGATTTGCAAAACTTTTTTATTACACTTTGGGTTGACGTTTCACTTTCTTGATGGTATTCTTTGAAGTATAAAAGTTCAAACTTTGGTGATGCCACATTATCTATTTTGCCTTGGGTTGTTTGTGCATCCATGTCACATCTAGTAAATTGTTGCCTGAACCAAGGTTTTTGAAGACTTATGTCTCTGTTTTCTTCCGATAATTTTAAAGTCTTACATTTAGGTCTGTAAGTCATTTTAATTGTAGACAGTGTAAAATAGAGTTCTAAATTCATTCCTTTGTGTATGGACATCCAGGTTATGCCAGGACAATTCGCTGAAAAGACTTTTTTACTAGGTAACAGGCTTTGCATCCTTGACAACAATAAGTTGACCACAGAAATACTTCTTTCAGAAAACTTCATTTTATGCCACTATCTAAAATTATGTCAGTACCACACTGCAGTAAATCTAAAGTAGGTTTTCAAATCAGGGAGGGTGAATCTTGCAACTTTGTTGTGTTTCAAGATTGTTTTGGCTATTGTGGAAGCCTTTTCCCCCTACATTTTTATTAGGGCTTTAGAATTGTACATAATGGTGGTATTTGATGGTACATATTTGTACATGCGCACAACAATACAATTTGGCCAATATCACTCCCCAAGCACTCCTTCCCTCCATCCCCACCTCCCACTTTCCTGTACAGACCAAACTTTCATTTCCACCTTTCTTTTCCTTTTTCCTCTCTAGCTTCCACATATAAGAGAAAACATAGCTCCTTTTATGGTTGGAGTTTGACTTACTTTGCTTAACATACTGTCTCTAGTTCCATCCATTTTCCTG